AGATATACAAGCAGCAAGGATTAGATGTGGAATTCATGGAGTTATTAGGTTATCAGTTGGTTTGAATTAATTCATGCGTATTTGCCGGCATCAGTCACGACTAATGGCTGGTCTTGAACTTGAATTTGTCACTGCTACTAATCATGATCAATCAATAAATCCCCAGGAACTCGTCTCAGCTGATGTCCACGTGTAACGACTTCCACAATGAGATTGGTTCATTTGTCACAGGATCTAATCAAAGGATCTTATCTTAAGGCAGAAAATTTCTAACAATGTAATTTATTTAGGGTTTAGCCGGAAATACTATCTTCCTGAACAAAAAAAATAAGTCGGAGTCTCATAACCTAAAAAAGATTCATGTTACATTTCAGATGCAATTTTCTCAGTTAGCAATTCCACGGTCCAAACGCGTTACTTTTTAAATTATCTGTAAACTGCCTTAGTAAATTCAAAAATTTATTAACTAACGTAGAAGCCTCTTTTCAATTACTTGTTCTTCAGTTTCTGTAGCTGTATGTTCGTTTTGACGGAAAGGTGCACATAAATGACAATATCCCTTTAATTTCCTACAGAATATAAAGTTTAAAACATGTGTGTACACAACAACACTCATAGATATAACACCAAATTGCCTATCGGATATATTACGGAGTTTGTCGAAAGTGAATAATCGTAAGTGACAATGAATTATATAGTAGTGACCACATGTGATCATTTAAGATGTGTAACATCTGGTCTAATTACAAAGTCTGTGTGACAGAATGTTAACACAAATAACGCGAAGAGAAAACGGAATGTAAGCCCATGTATTCATGTTAATACATGTAGGACTGGATAGTTTTAGAAACGGAAATTATTACTGTTAGATCTGTTAGAATACCAACGTGGATGGTGAATCAGATAAGAGTAACCAAAAAATCAAAAGGTGACCTTATGCACATATATTCGATGAAAGGTTATTACTCAAAGGTAGAAGGTAACGAAGTATTTAGAAGCTATTAGATTCCGCAAATGACTGAGGTAGTGACACTAGCTTTTGTATACATGGTTCCGATTAATACAGGAGAGTTCGTGTTTTCGGTTGTTTCGAGTGTTATGCTTCTTCATAATTTATCAGGCACACAATAGACATTAAAGACAATTGACTACGATTTTTTCTGTTAGTCTGGACAATATATGGTAGTACTGAACTGTAAGTGCTGCTCATCAAACTTTTATTTAGTCATAGTGGTGCTTCTGAGCAGTAAAAGTTAAATTTCTTTAGCAACAGCTGACTTGACATAGTTCACAAGAGTAGTCAAATTGATAAGTTAAACGAGTATTGGTTAGCACATGTACTTGATTTTTCAAACTTGGCGTGTAGATGTCAAAAACATGATTCTCCATTTGATGGCATTAAGAAAATTTGTACTCCAGTGGATATATCGATTTTGGATTGTTTCCAAATGTCGACTGGCTTCTTTTCATAAATGTAAAATACTTGTTTACGAACAATTATTCTTTCTCCATGAGTGCCTCTGTCATCAAATCCCACGAGCTAGTATCAGATACAAACCACTAGTCATCTGCCGAATGGGATGGAAATTGGCTGAACAATGTGGAAGACGAATGGTCAGATTAATGATTACAGATGCACATTATCGGATCAATAAATATAAAAATAATGGATGTTCAAGTAGAAAAAGTGGAGAAAAACCTTAACCAAGAACACCTGTCAGCGCTGATTACCGCAATTACATTGTCAATTAGAAGACACAGGGAACAAAGACAGAAAGTTCTCACAACCAAGCAAGCCAAAATTAGAAAACAATTACCAGACAATACACCTATTGACTGCGTATTCAACCTACCATAACAACCACTATCAAAACTGGAACAATAACTATTACAACAAGGATTAAACTACAACACTGTGAACGCTTCGAAAACTGAGTTCTTTTCTGCCCTTGTATCAACACTCAAAACATCAAACTTAAACGAGAACACACAAGAAAAGATACGCTAAACAATCGTATCAATGGTCAAATAGAAGAAACACCACACTTAACTCTCAAGAACTAAAGGCCCTCAAAAAGCTGGAAAAGGAAGGACATCGTCATTCTACCGGCTGACAAAAGAGGAACCACAGAAGTCATGGATGAAGACAGATACTCCAAGAAAGCTGAAGAACTACTCAAAGATAAGGATGTACATCAACAACTCACAACAAATCCCATACAAACATTAGACAACCACACACAAAGAACCTTAAACAAGCTCACCAGAACGGGTCAAATTACAAAGCAAGACCAATGGCGAATGAAATCCAATGGATCAGTCCAACCCCGATTCTACGGCAAGCCCAAAATACACAAACCGAACATCCTATTATGACCAACTGTATCGCTCCCAGGAACCCCAACATGCTAACGAATCTCTGCTTTCATATTACTGTACAGTAAAATGATGCATTAGTTGTTTATTTATATACAAATTTATGTTCCATCTCTGTGATGTCTTGGTCTATCAGAATTCGATCACAGAATCTCTGCTTTACTTATAAAGTTCACGATTTAAAAGTTCGAATATTTTCATATTAAATTAGAAAGATTTCACAAATCAACTCTCTTATCAAAGATGTTAGTGTTAACCTGTGTATCGAGGTCCACTGGATGAGGATTTCTAATTTTACTAATTCACAGTAGAGAATGACTGTCATATAAGAATATCGGTGGCCACGAAACCTCACAACATATGTACTTGACTTTACGTGTAATTAGTTCACCCTCAGTTGCTAATGTGTGCTGAATTGTTACCTATTCCGGTCTTCAGCCATTTCCCTCTTGACCTCAACTCACACTGAACATTCTGTGAAATAAACAGTTAATTCTGTGAGAATTAGGAGACATTTCAGCAAATTCGAAAGATGTAGGATTCCATCCTTCCTAAAACACTCCTAAATGATCCCATTCAGTGTACGGATCATTACTAGTTAATTGGCTTTCCGATATCTCACCACGAATGAATCTTGTTTGAAAGACTAATGATACATTCATTTATCGAGGACTTAAATTTCTGTGAGGAATGCTGTAAAGAATTTATAAAAAATCGTCTGATTTGTGTTGATGTAGTACTACGACCTACTAATGGATAAAATCGAGCCCAATTAAAAATTAATACTGAACTAGTGAGTAGGGAAATGTAATGGTGCATGATTTTAGAACCTTATGAATATTCATGAGTATCATTGAAAATCAGACATATTCCATCAAATCCTGTACACTTTGCCGCGTTTCTTAATAACAGTAAACTCATTTATTTGGTGTAGAAGGAAATTCCTCGAATATTTTACTAAATAGTCGACTTATGAATGGGAGAATGGTCACTCAACACTTCTTGAAGTATTTATTAAGCTAATATAAACGAGGAACAATCTAACGAAGTAACGATAAAATAAAATGAGAGACATTTTTACATCTTTAAATCAACTATCATTTATTTACGTTTAACGAATAAAATTCAATGAGAAATCGTATCGCTGCAATCATTTTGGTGTAAAAGGACATTTCGTGTTAAGACCCAGTAGAGTTAATAGCGTCTTTTTGTATAAGCCCTCAGTCTTCTTTTTGATATCACTTTCAAGACTTGTTCTGTATAATTCTTGATATACAATCATGACGGTGTATAAATCAATCTGCAAAAGAAGAGGACAAGATAAGCATGAAGGTAAGAATCCTGTTCAACTTTTCATTTGAAGCGAATGTTGACGAAAAATGGATAAGACAACTACATACTCAGTAGAAAACATCAACAAATTCAGGTCATCAGGTTTATACAAGAATGAATTTATATTGCTTCAAGTATCTCCATGAAGAGACATTAGTAAAATGGTTGCTGGAAACTGACTAGTACAAGACAGATGCTGTATCCTCGCTGGGGATTTCCATCCATGCTTTCCTACCACTAGTTGAAGACTGGAACGTGACATGTTTTCTATTTCATGTGATGGCCTTGGATATGCACATATAAACAGTTTCAATATAGTACGAGACAAATAATCGGTGCTTTTCTGTTTTCAGTATTTCTGTAGCTGATATCAATGTCTAGGATACCTTACTTGAAATTGGTTAGAATTTTGACAACAAATGACCTGTAGAGAAAACTCTGCCTAATAAATAACAGATTTAGTTATATTCCTTTATATATATATCAGCTTAAGAGATACGAAATCCTTGATGTGACTACCTTTATCAGCACCTAGGCAAAGGACCAAATAATTCATTCATCTAATCTCCTCAGTCACAAGTATTCCCCAAATAGCTCTTAATCTGTGCAAATAAACTGATCTTTAATTCCATAAGAATTTTCAGCCCTTCGATGCCTAAACCTTATTGGCTAACACAGCTAGATGAACAGTATTATCTTAATGTAAAACTACATATTAGAAAAGAGCGACTTATGAGGAACTAACCGAGAAAGAAGAAATGTCTTCGCTCAAATTGTTGTTTTACTAAATGTGCAAATGACGACTTTCAAAAATACTCTGAATATTGTCGTCATTTTGTGTGTATGACAACGATTATTAGTGAGAAACAGCTCAGTACGACCTCGTCACAGTGGAATGCGCTATTTCAACGAGAACGAAAACTCAGTAGTCATCTGTTCATTTGAAGACAGTTTTTGTGAGTGATCGCTCTGGATTCGAGCATTTGCTTATCTGATGATAAACATTTTATCACACTGAAGGGATGGCACACTTCGATAACTAAGGAGTTCCAAATAATGGAAATTACGATTCCTGGACTTAATTTTTCTATTTGAAATAAGCTGTGTCAACCATATCAGCGAGTTATAGTTATGCTTTTATGAACAATCAAATCAACCTACTGTCGAGATTTCATATTCCTCAACTACTTCTGACTTATCTTAAAGGTTAATATGTTCAAACAAAACCACTGAACATTATTCTTTTGTCTAAATTCGCGCATATTTTTTCGATTTACAAAAGTGTATCTTACTTCGGATCTGGTAATTAATAACCGTGTCAAATGTCTTTTATTAACTGGACTTGAAAACAAAGCGTCATGAATCCATTTGGCAGTCAATCGTGGTCGTTTTCTTCCTGAGGACACTAAAATGAAGTAAGGAAAAGTAAAAATTAGTCGTAAATGAATTTATTCAGATATATGTAAAATGTTTATTTTTCTTTACATAGTGTACACACAAGTTTTTGCAAGGGAGGACTATATTATGGAGACTTCATGCACTGATTTTGACTGTGTGAACGAGTTATTCTCATGATGTATTCCTTTCAGTAGGTGTTTGTCATTAAAGGCAGTAGTTTTCAACTCCATCTGCGTACAGCCATGTGTAAAGATAGTTAACAAATAGATGTACGGATAGATATTTTCTTGAATTTAGGTCGCTTAATTTCGACTGCTTTTTTCACGTCTGCTTACCAACATGAAAGAAGGTAAAGTGGAAGACAAATGAAGGAAAATGGTGTAATCAAGATCGCGGAAATCCATAATACGAAAGAGAGAAACAAAGGTAATATGGAGGGACTTAACATTACATGCAGATAATTCTAATGAATGGATGTTTCTTAAAGCTTCAGTTTCTCAAACCAATCGTAGCAGTGCTCAGAAACTTTGTGGATCAATATATTGTCTCAGTTTAGTCGCCTCAAGCTTTATTTTGTAATAACTCTGTTTTACTTTTGCATGTTTGGGTGTATAAAAGACGCATATGAGGTCGATGATTCTTAATCAAATAAGTACGTAGAAATTAACTAACTAATCCCTTCTATCAAAATGCTTCACAGCTACTAGTTTGTTCGCCAATCACCTCTACAACACATGAACAATTTTACACCGGCACAATACTTTATTCATTCACTTACCTGGGATGGGTCATCTGTTTACTAGTAAGTCATGTAAAATTATATCAGTTTAAATAAGCTGAGCTAAAAACTTTAAAACAAAAACAATTCATATATGTTACACACTAGGCAGGAAGCAGTACCTAATGTGTAGATAATATCTCAAGTTATGACTAGGTCTCTTCAACTGACGTACTTTATTTACTTTAAGTCTCATTAACAGCGGTATTGTTTCTTACGGGGTAAGATTGCTAGCCTCACGCCCAGCCTTCCCTTTTTACGGAGTTTACTGCCAGATAGGCGAGGTTTAGGAGTGCGTTGGTCCGGGATCCAAACCCTGACCAATTGTGTGGTCAGTGAGCATTCCACAGATGAACCACCGACTCACTGAAGTAGATACGAGTATTTTTTACTGCTCAAAGTTGACTAATAAAAAAGAAGTGAGTTTCGTTCAATGTTGACAGTCGCATGCGCAAAATTGTACACACCAATAATATTCATAACTTAGTAAAGAGATAACAGGTAACAGCGAACTCACACATAGCAAGCAGAGTCTTTTGATAATTCCCACTTGTTTTGTTTTTAATTGCGTCCTCGAGAGACTTGCCGAATAGCTGAAAACAAGTAAACGAAAAATAGATGGATTAAAATTTTAAAATGTTATCACAAAATAAACTGATTTATATTGAAAGTGAAACTTCCTGAGATAGATGTACAGATAAGTATCATAGATTTATTAGACTGCTAGACATTTTCCGTGTTAATTACAGTAAGATGATGATTGGTTAATAGCTGGTCCATGCAGATCAGCTAATTTGAAATAATGAAATGTCAAATTAGTTTAAATCAGAACACAGTGCATCCAAAAGTAACTTTCTAAAATCTTAAATCAAAGGATGTTCTTGTGACATTGAGTATTCTTCATATGAGTTACACATTTGCAGAATTTTGAAACGCTGTCACAAAACTGTTCAGAAACACAATCTGCTAAATTCTGAAGTCCTATACTCTGAACTTTCGAATATAACCGAAACATGTGTTCAAATAACGGGCTAGAATATTTGAAAAAAGTATATGAAAACCGATAGCTCTTCTATAGCCTATCCATGTAGGCTTAACACATTGAAAACAACTACCTTAGTCCAAAGTATGAATAGTAATTCCAGAAATGTTTTCAGCTTGAGGACTATTCGAATGATCCCACAGTCCTCTCCAATCAAAATAAAAATTACAAATGATGCATGTTATAATTCACCGAGTAAATTGTGATCAATAATGCTTAGTGGTTAATGGAGTCAAAAATTGGGGAAAATGTGGTGATATTTCATGTTAGTCAATAAAGCTAAGCTGAAAATGTGAGTTGTACAAGTCTGTCTCTCACATATCATTCAGTCATATCAACCTCTTCAGTAAGAACAAGTTGACACCATGGTGTATATGGCAGGCTTGTAATCACCTCAAAGTATGTAAATATTCTGTTTCTATGACTTTCCACAAACTGGTATTCAAAATCCTTGACGTCTGATAGCAATAAATCTGTGAATAGATTTACATTTAACCTGTTCATTTCTTTCATCTCTATGCTGTTTCAAGTGCATTTTCACAACTAGGAAAAACGAGATTTCTTGTGTCACTCAACATGTCAAACAGTGCTAATTCCAGTACTCTGAAATCTGTGACTGACACTCGACACCATTTATTGTTGATCACTTTGTGGTATACATTCCTTTCTAGAATGAAGCAGTCCATTCGATTATTCAGTAAATGTAGGTTATAAATCTGGATTGAGGTTTTAACCAAATAATCTGCATTCTGGAATAAGTTTCACAGACTGAAATTCTAGTGAGAAAATTGAATAGTCATGTAATCCTGTTTTGTCATAAATCACTATTCCCTCCACTGTGTATGCTTGAAGCGAATTAATTCGTTGAAAATGTTTTGGAGAGTTGTTATTTTGAAGTGATGAAATTACTACCCTAAGTGTGGTTTTTGCTTTTTTCAGATTCATTAAGAAAAATTTGCTCATGCGCGTCTGTTTAAAAAGGAACATATTATAAAGATAAAATTATACGGTACAAAAGAATTTCTAATTTTTATAAGGCACTCTTCATGAGGCTATTACAACAATCTTTATTAAAATTTATGCCTCTTCACTCAGCATCAAAGCCAAGGTGATAACCTGTTTACTTATTTTATCTTCAAAGTTGATAAGAGTCTATGGACCAAGTGGTTTGCAATCTTTTTTTCCTTCACGTTCCCCAGTGGAACATAGGGCTACAAGCTACTGGCTGAAGTTTCCGTAGTAGTGTTTATTTTACAGGATGTGGTTGCCAGCCTCATGCCCAACCTTCCCTCTTCGCCAGCATTATTCCCGGCTTAACGAGGTAAAGGAGTGTGTCGGCGGGGATTCGAACCCCGGACCATGTGCATGGTCGGCGAGCGTCTCAACCGCTATGCAATCTAAAGAAGAACAATTTGGTGTCAGTGCAACATACGAGGTTATGGGTGAACTTTAATATCTTACTTATTAGTACACATAATTTCAGTCTAATTACACTTACAAACATTTGGTAAAAACCACAAAGTAAAACAAATACAAAAACCAGTAATAGTGTTGTTGAAATTCACTTACAAGTTTGTACTTGTCATTAATTTCATCCAAATCAAAGTAGTCCGCTTCACAAAATGATTGAGTTACACTACCTTTATCAATTGGTTTTCTGTTAAAATACAAATAGAAAAATTTAAAAAATATATACACATTTCTTTTTGGTGTGGTTGTGTTCTCTGAGCTGGATATTTAATTTGCGAAGCTTTCATCACCTTACTAGGTGACATCTTTAGCGAATACTTCAATTTGAAGTGAGCTTTTAGATTTCGCCACGAGTTTATTAATCATCTCTCCCGATGACCTTGGGCGTGATTGGTTGTTTTTGTGTGTTTTCACACCTACGTTACTTGTGTTGGAACTGATTGTTTCTTTGACTCTTTGTGTGTGAGGTTTCTTTCTTATCGGTTGATAAATTTTGTCTATCTCGATGTGTCTGTTGATTGATGATTCACTGGAATGTCAAGCTTCTAAAAATTCTCTAGCATTCTTGTTGTTTCCTCTGTCCAATATTTGAACATTGTCACAGTCGAATTGATGTCTATAGTTGTCTGTATGTAGTGATATGAAGAGTGCGTCGATGGCATAGTGGTTAGGACGCTAGCCGACCATGCACATGGTCCGGGGTTCGATTCCCGGCCGGCGCACTCCTTTACCTCGCTAAGCCAGAACTAACGCTGGTGAAGAGGAAAGGTTGGGCATGAGGCTAGCAACCACATTCTGTAAAATAAGCACTGCTACAGAAACTTCAAGCCTCTAGCTTGAAGCCCTATTTTCCACTGGGAACGCGAAGGAATAAAAAAAAGTGATATGAAGGAGTGGATGTCATGTCTTTTGACGGCTAGTTTATGTTCGTGGATACGAAGACGAAGGGGACGTCCACTATGGCCAGTGCAGCGTTTTTCGCAGTTGTTACAATTTATTTTGTAGATGATGTTGGTTTTATCTTCTTTCGCTGTTGAGTCTTTTGGCTTAAAAACGGCCAGCTAACTGAAGTGATTTTGTTGGCTTGTGTGAGAAATCACAATCCTAAAGGTTTATAGAGTCTTGCAGTGATTTCTGAGATATCCTTTATATATGGTAGGGCGATTTTCTTTGTGCTTTTGTTGGAGGCTTTTGGTTTGATAGGTTGGCTTGGGGGTATATGTCTTCTGATGAAATTCCGTGGATATCCATTCTTTTGGAAGACGTCCATGACACATCTTTCTTCAATTTTTTTCTTAAGTTGGGAGTGCTGCAATGAGTCCTGGCCCTCTTGAACAGTGTTTGTATGCAATTCCTTTTGTGTGTTATTGGATTGTTGCTGTTTTAATTGAGTGTTTGATCTGTGTGAGTTGATTTTCTATAAGCTTGGGTTTCTAATTCCCCCGTGGTTATTCGCTTGACTAAGACGTCCAAAAATGGGATTTTGTTCTCGGATTCCTCTACTCTTGTGAATTTGATTTCGTTGAAGACGAACATAAACTAGCTGTCAAAAGACATGACATCCACTCCTTCATATCACTACATACAGACAACTATAGACATCAATTCGACTGTGACAATGTTCAAATATTGGACAGAGGAAACAACAAGAATGCTAGAGAATTTTTAGAAGCTTGACATTCCAGTGAATCATCAATCAACAGACACATCGAGATAGACAAAATTTATCAACCGATAAGAAAGAAACCTCACACACAAAGAGTCAAAGAAACAATCAGTTCCAACACAAGTAACGTAGGTGTGAAAACACACAAAAACAACCAATCACGCCCAAGGTCATCGGGAGAGATGATTAATAAACTCGTGGCGAAATCTAAAAGCTCACTTCAAATTGAAGTATTCGCTAAAGATGTCACCTAGTAAGGTGATGAAAGCTTCGCAAATTAAATATCCAGCTCAGAGAACACAACCACACCAAAATCATCCACCTGAGCTACAAATCTTCTCTATCATATCTATACACATTTCTTGTTTTTCAGTAGTAAGGTTTTACGAATAATAGCAAGTCACAAGAACTCAGGAGGAAATACAGTTAGGCATATCCATCGCTAGACGAAATCGCTGCTCTTTTTTCTTAATGTTTCTATGCAATTTCACTTCGTTTCATAGAACTAAATTTCGCGCGTAGTGTTCACGCACAGATTTGAGCAATATCCTATGGAATTGACGAGGGTACTATAAAGGTCAGTTATCAGTTCAATGCTTACTCCTTGGGTTAATTTGAATTCCATTGCTTCATCAGAATTCTAAAATAGACCTATATACGGAGTTGAATTGAACATTACAAAACGATGGGCACTTCGAAATTTCTACACAGTATGGGTAATAATAATCCGACGTTACAAATCTTAATTTGGTGAGCAGAAACGCTTTCTCCGATATACTGCCCTGCATTCTTTACAACATCATTTGATATGTGTTCGATTACATACTTATTAATAAGCTAACTAAATATTTCCGCCGCTTAGGAATCACACTTGGCCATTGTGGTAGAGTGTAATTCCATCACAGAATAAATTTATCTGATAAATGCACACACTCACACAGTAATATTAACTGATGACGCTTTGAGCTCAATTTATTGCTATGATGTGATTATGAGCAGTAAATTACCCTCATCAGCAAGTAGTATTGTATAAATGTGCACTTTTACTAAAAAAAATTTTTTCTATGAGGGAATTTAATATTTCTAATTTGATCGTTTCAGTAATCAGATGTGATGTTTGTGAAGACTAACTAACTTACAGATGAATTTTATCACTAGCTGATATCATTTAGTGAACCTTTTAAAATTAACGAGCTCATGGACTCTTCGGCAGTGTGCATTCTCGACGTTTGACACAGGTCTGTAGATGGGTATTTAGTCGTCTATGTTTTTAAAGTCGAATTCTTTAGTGTATTATGACACCTTAACTTAGATCTCACTTATCGGCAATATTAGCCATAACAGAATCCCAATTACAAGTAATTTGTAATTTGATGTAAAATTAATCATTACAGCCTTTCTCAATTACAGTTAATGATGAAATAAAGGTAGACTGATCCATATTGTTAACATATTTGACTACATGAAAAGTGGTCAATATTTATTTTGTAGGGATTTAATTCGCTTACAGTTTGATCACGAGTTGACATCAATTAGAGAACCAAAAAACAGAGAGTACTGGACAGTATTTTCGACCTAGCCCGGGGCTCATCAACTGTTCACACCCATTTGGGTTCGAAGACAGGACCTTTCAGTTATAAGGCAAGCTTGTAGACACACACAAACACATAAACTTACTTTGACAAGTACTTATTAAGACGCTGAGCTTCCTGTGTTGAAAAATTTAGATTTGCTTCTACAAAATATCTTTTTTGTTCTTCAATTCCATCGGTTAGGATTAGTGACGGTAATCGCTCATTTCTGCTTAAACACAATAAAATTTCTTGGAAATCGCCCTTTGTTACAGTTCCAATATCTTCACTCAATTCTTTTCCAGCTAAAAAAAATGAACTGTTTGTTATTTAGTATTCTTGTAAAATTATATTATATGACACCTCGTGATATATATATATATATAAACTTAAAGGTAGCGCATTGACTTTTCCATTTCACTGTAGCTTTCTTTGGGGACTGACATCAATTAAAGAATTATTGAAGCTCGAGATATTGAACGCTAGTCACGGACTTTTTAGAAGTGCGTTGGAGATAAAGTACATAACCTTCAGGTTTCAAGATCATCCCCTTATCCATTCAGTTGTTCACTGTTATTAGTTTCTACACCTTCTGTGATATGTAGGTAAAACATATTCTAATTAAAACACTACAAAGCTAATTAACTTCTTAAATGTACGTCATGTTACAATGCCTGTTTCACTACAGATATATATTGAAGGCTGACTACATAGTATCCACCTGCATCCTGAAATGATGATACAAATTGAAAGTAAAGTATTTCTGTTTGAATAATAACATAAACAGAAATCACGGAATGTAAAACTACATAAGTACATAAATGGTTACTTATCAATCTAGGCAGTGTATTTGCTTTGGTGATAAACACGAGAATACACGATAATAAATGTGCATGGTACAACATATATACAATATATACCTTGTTCCTTGTATAGGTCAACCAGCTTAGTTAATTCTTCTTCTGCAACATTGATTAGTATTTGCATTAATGTTATCTTATCACTTGACCCAACAGCATGCTTTAGTTCTTCTATAAAGTAGTCTGGTAGGTCTTTTAAAAGATTCAATATAATTGTTTTGAAATCAGGATCTTTCAGACGATTCATTCTGTCGACTAAAGGCTGAAAATGAGAACGTGAATGTTTCACATTGATTCGTATGAATAAAGAGACTACAGCTGCATGATAATGAAGGTAGAATGTTTATTCAGATGTAGGTATTTTCTCAACCACTTGGGATGCTTTTATCAGGTGGATCTATGACAAGTTAGTAGGGTGTTGATTGACTCGCCTGCTTATTTTGATAAATTCGGTAGACTCACTAGAATATAGTTAATCAAATGGTATAAATAGCCTGACTACTTAACAATAAATCATTTGATCTTGGCCATATTTGTGATCTACTTAGAACAGATTGAAAGGCCAGAATGTAATGATTGACTTCACCTACTATTTGAGAAGTGGTATCAACAGATTCCTCAGCAAACTGATTTAAATCATTTAGTGATTTATGTGCACTTAGTAAAAGAAAATCACCTTGCAGAACTTTTGGGTTTCCCACCCACAATATAAGAAGAATAATCAGTTAGGAGTTTCAGCACAAATGACAAAACGATTTTCAATGTCTACTAACAAGAAATATGCATTACTAGATAGGAAGAAGGAATAATTAATCCCTCTTCTATATTTTAATAACTCTAAATGATGCGTTGATGGCACAGTAGTTAGGACTGTCGCCGACAATGCATATATTCCGGGGTTCAATCCTCTGCCGACGCACACCTGATATTAATGTTCGGCCTGCAAAATTTGGGCTACCGATATCACATGCTGAAAATTCCATGCTTCTACCAAAAGTACTGTGTGGAATCAAACTATAATCAAAAAAAATATCTATGGAATTATGAACACCGGCCTTCACTTTGTGATTTCTTGTAATTTCAGATATATTATTAGTTAAAATCGCAAATAAGTAAGCCAATTAACAGAGTTAAGCATACGCAAATGGTTTACTCTATCAAGACAAAACCCAAAACACTGTAGGAATGATGTGCTTGTTTCAACTTTGTTGATGTTTAGTGAAATGAGTGCATGTCGATTTGATCTTACCTTTTTAAATAGTCTCGAATAAATCCTCTGTAATTCTTGTCTTTCGAAATTCGTTCTTCTCGCCAAAATGCAAACAATTTCATCGACATCTAATGAAGAATATCAAACACAATGAATGCTTATACTTTATTCAACTAATCAAATGAAGGTTGCTTCTAAATGAAAGATTCGAGTGTATTCACCTTTACTCTCATGTCTGACTGCATTATTGGGATGAAGAATATTGAAATATGGGTTAAAATCTATACAGAGTCATTTTAATTTGTGAGAATATGATGAAACCATATGATCAGCAAATATTAGTATAATGCTGTAAACTTGACAGCGCTTATCTATGAAAAGCTGCCTTGAATCTGAAAGGAGGATATACAGGTGTGATACATAGTCACGTGCTTGGTGACTGTTTCATTCGACTTCACTTCATTTAATATACCAGAAAGCACGAGATGTAGCTGTATTCTAGTTCGATGTTAATGTCCAACTGTGAATGACCTCATGAGGATTTCTAGAATAAATTAAACGAAGTGGTTTCAAGGAACTTGTATTATATTTTATGCCAGTGTAATATATATACGTAATTTCGTCTCTTCTTTACAGCTAGAAATAAAATATATGGTCAGCGTAAGACGTCTAGATATATTATTCCGTTATATTGTGTTTCATATAGTAGAACTGACTGTAGGCAGAAGAAAATGGCGTTCGAATAAAGATTCCTACTTGAAAATGACGACTGGTTCATGAGTAATAAACTAATATTTGTAGCAGAGATGTATTGTAAAACAGCAATATGCAACCGGTTTAATCCATATAAACACGAATCTCGCCACTCAAAGTCAACATTTATAAAGCGCCGAGAACCAAGAAGCTCTGGAATACCGTTCGCCACTATTTTGAAATGCATTATCTATGTTCAGCAATAGCTGCACCAAATCGTCAGGTTATAGAGTGAGTATTTTTCAACTTTTATTTCTTTTTAAAACAGTTAGTTCCCTTTATGAATTTAGATAAAGCAATAAGAAGACGTAATTTGTCTGAATCGTGTAATGTATTTGCGCAACACATTTCGTACAATCTGATCACACGCGGACTTGTCAAATGAATATATATGAAATTAATAAAGAGGTAAGAGGTGAGAAAATAGACTTAGGTCAAGTTAAAATTGACGTTAACAGATCTTTTAAACCTATCTATAAAACGTGTTTGGGGCGTATCCTAAAGTTTGTGGAAGCCCTACCAATTAGAAAGTTTAAGCCACCTTTATGCGTTCAAAAACAATTCGTCATCACATTAAACCTTCCTTGGTAAATTTTGTTTTGATACCATAGCAGATGTCCTATTACCTCTGTTATTTGGTTTACTGGTCTTCATTGTTATTTTGACCTTGAATATGTCCTATGAACTTGACCTAAGTCTATTTTCTCACCTCTTTTACCTCTTTATTAGTTTCATATATATTCCTATGACAAGTCCGTGTGTGATAAGATTGTTCGAAATGTGTTAAGCAAATACATTATAGGATTCAGACAAATTATGTCTTTTTATTTCTTTATTTGAGGGATAATGGGTGATCACTTTTGTTACCCAAGACCTATTTGGGAAAGAAAATTTAGTGATAGTTAGCTTTCAAAGTTCTCCGCGTGGATAACAGTTCCCGTAAAACCTTCAGTGTGCTCACCATTTAATAATGAGTCAAGATATTTTAAACAAATAATGATATCATCTATCACTATAATTGTGGTTCTCAAGAGACGATTAGTATCTGAATTGAATAAAATAAAGGAACTGCTTCGCTTCAGTTCCTATAACAGATAGACGCACATAATGGAAGGGTTAATAGCTTAAATATATTCCATGACTGATTCGAAAGGGGAACATTCTAGTCAGGCGGATATCAGGATATTTCACTGTTATCTGTGAACTACGTTCGTCCGTAGTTTAGTGGTAGAATCCTCGCCAAACACGCACATAATGCTGGTTCGATTTCGATCTGACACTCCTCTAAACATCATTTATTCGATGGCGAGCCTGGTAGACGTGAGGCTTGCATCCTCACCCCGTTATAAAAGACCACTAACTCTGCCGAAACTTTAAAGGTCAAGACTGAAGTTCTATGTTCCACCCGTAAGGTAAAGGAATGAAAAGAATTATACGAACTACAGATGATCAGCCAGCTTGTGAAACTGTTTTCAGAAAACAAATAAAAGCACATTGTTATGAACTTCAGTGTTTGTTAGACATTAATCAGTCTTACCATTACATTTAATAGCTACATGCATTGCAAAGGCATCATAGTATGACTGGTAGTATATTGACGGTGTGTACAGTTTCCCATTTCCGACAAAATACTGAAAAAAGTTTCTTTCTACACCAAATCTAAATCAAACAAATAACACATCTATAATTATTCATAGTCAGTTGAATACTAAACACTGAAACAATGAATTAAAACCTCAAAGTTAATTGAAGTAGATTTCGTATTTGTTGTCGTTAATCAGAAAACTATTTCAGTAACCTTTTTGATACTGAAATTCTCACTGAGATTCTGAACGGCATCCTGAAATATCAAAAACACTGAATTTATCATAATTCTATCTCCATAACCACTAACCTACCTGTCATTAAGCCACCAGTGCTCAGATATTATTCACTGTTTCATGGAGTTAGTGATGAAATGATAGGCTTGATTTTAAAATCGGTAGCTAATGGACTGCGTACTAAAAGTTTAGATCTCAGTGGTAACATGGTTTACCTCAAAAATATAGTTGGAACCTGCTGACAAGCACCGAAAACTCAAAATCCTTCAGTCGCTTATTGCTTTTTGGCAACTGATTACTAACAACAGTGTTATCACAACAAAAAGAAGTATTAGGCAGATGATAATAAGAATGAAGTAAAGAACTCTTAGAAAATTAGTCGATAAGTGGAATGATAAGGACGAGATAGGTGGCATCAATAGTAAACTATTATTATTTCATCTACATTGCGTTCGGTTCTCTGCCAACGTTTTCACCTGACTCCACGTCTGCCCACATGCTTTCATTTCCTCTTCACATGATCTCCTCCATATCGCCCTCACATCAACGATCAGCTCGCCGCTTCGCATTCGGATTCCACTCACTTAATGGTTTTCTCAGAGTACGGCCAATCCAATCCACTTACATTTCTTCCTGCACATTTGTTGCACAGTTGGTTCCTGTTAGGCTGGTTTGCTCCCAGAGATCCCTGTTGCTGATCTTTTCTGGCTGACCATCTGATCTTGATTATTATGCAGAGAGAGCTGCTGATGAAAGTCTGCAGTTTGTTCGAAGTCTCTGATTCGTATAGTAAGTAGCACTGACTTCACATTGGAGTTGAACATTCGGATCTTATTTTGCATGCTAAGTGCTGTTGACCTCCACACAGACGTGAGATTAATGAAATCTTGTCTTGATTTCTCGATCCTTGCTTTGATATCCTTGTCAGCTCCACCTGCAGTTGAAGTGATGCTTCCCAGGTAGGTAGGTAGGTAGGTAGAGCGGGTTGCTTCTTTCAGATTTCTCCCATTTATGCTAATTGATATCTGCTGTTGCTGTTGGCCAGGAATCTTCATCACCTCTGTTTTCTCTATGCTCACCTGAAGGCCTATCTTTGATGCTTCTTCTGCCAACTTGTTGCTTTTCACTTGCATATCTTCCAGTTTGCGGGAAATCAAACATATATCACTGACGAAATCCAAATCTTCCAAGATTTTGTGTGAGTCATAGTGATCGATATTAGGCTGTTAATATCATTCTAAATATGTCAGAAATTTGACAGAATGTTTGAAGGATTTCACCGCAAACTAGGAAAGATGAAAGAATCAGAACAAATGAAAACAAATGACCAAAAGAAAATGAAGTGTTAGACAAACGTGTAGAAGAAATGGCGATATTTGTGCACGTGTTAAAATTTGACCGTGAGCGAAAATACTGAGGCGCAGTATTATTGGCTTTTACAATGAGTTTTCTTTGTAAACTTTAGTTAAACAAGAACGCTAAACATTATGGTATGAAATGAAATGAATTTCATGAATTCACATGTAAATATGAGATGTTGATGCAAATAAGTTTCCCAGAACTGGGCCTTGAACGAATTGAAGATGGTTCTACGATAAGTTGGATTTATCAAAAGTCTACATTGATGTTTCAATATTTAACAGCTTTTTTCCTTTTTAATACAAAGAATTCTGGTCAAAAATTTGTTTTCACCTGTAACCATACCATTTTCTGAAGAGCTGGTTGACGATGAAATGGATGATTTTATAAAATATTGTTTGATGAACCATACTCCACTATGCTTATTGATAAATATTCAAAGTTAAAAGAGGGAAATATGGTTGAAACAACTATACTAAAGAAGACTGTATTCATCAGTTTAACATTCCTGCAGCGAAATTAGTAGTGGTCTACATCACAAAGAACAAGATCAGAGGATGAAATGTGCATGTGAGAACCCTACGAGTTACTTCCAATTGCATTTATTCATTTACATATACTTGCAGTAGTATGTATGTTGGGAGAACTGACAAGTTCCTTGCTAAAAGAATTTCTGACCGTGCCAAAAGTCTGTTATTAGGTGCAAGACTAGCTATCAGCGCAGCTGGTAGAAATATACTTGATAGGGTCACGACATCGATTCCAATAAAACCCTCTGTTTGGTGAATAAAAAGAATAATAGTAGATTACTAAAATAGGCAAAAGCAGCAGCAGTCCGACGACTGAATCCTAACCACATTTTGCTTTGCTTGAATCGCATTTGTATTATTATTTGTAATATATAAATATATATATATATGCTGTCGTGTTAAAGTACTTATTTGTGTTGACTGTACCAAATCAGATTGTTTTTAATTGACAATTATATCTTGAATTATAGAACTTTACACAGACACTCAATAACTATCTGGAAGGTCGGAAGCACACAAACTGAAGTTGCCTTCGATTAATCCCAGTACGTTTATGATTCTGGCCTTGAAAAAAATTGGTTTAGATGATTACAGATCACGAATCGATTAAAAATGTGAATAAATGGAAGTCAGTAAAAATTACAGTCGACAAGATATGGCGATTATTTTAAATGATGAAGCCTAGCATTGGAATGCAGGATGTGCATTTCATCCCATTTTGCACTCGCCACTGCCTGTTTCTGCGTCTCCATTGAGTACTGGCCTTGCAGAAGACCGTTAAGCCCAGTACCAATCGTTTCAAACGCTAATATATTATCTACTAGGCCCCCAGGACTATAGCTACTTTTTCACAAATGAAAAATGTGGAAATGGGAATTGTTCAGGTCAAATGTAAAAAAATGGAAAAATAAAAAGGGTGACAAGATGGTCAAAAAGATAAATTAAAACCTTAGAATGTGATGGTACGAAGTGATATAAAGTAAAATGAATCAGCATGGAATAAGGAATACTGAAGACTTTTGAATCACATTAAAATATTAAGTCGAAGGTGACGAAAGAGGTTGCACAAACTGTTTTTGTACTCATAGTTCTGGCTTTATATTATCCATTTCCAAAGCCTCTACTACTCAGTGCAAGTGGACTCATGCACCTATTCGCAAATTCAGTGGGACTGCTTCAAAGGATATCTCAAAAGCGGTGTAGCATTATAGACGAATGTGTCTCTACTCTTCACTAGGCACGGAAAAGCTAAAAAATGCTTCCTAAAGAGATGGTATGTGTTACTCGATGAACATCCACTGACTGTAGCTTCACAAGGGCTGGTGAGAATACGAACACACCAGGAACTAGACAATCAAAAGAACGTCCTTTTAACATTAAGACGCTTTGTAGGAAAATATGTTTCCCCTATAATGTTATCAAACATCGTTTATTGACCAAATTGGCAATGTCATCTCTGAATTTTTTGTTTAAATTCAACGCTTTTGCAAGAAAGGCTAATTCCTTAGAAATACAAAGTTTAGGCTGAAATGCTAACACTGATTCATATCATCGGCAATATTGCCACATGTGTTACTCAGTGTTAAAACCAGAAAACCTACCAATATTTGAGTACTCAGTGATTTGAACTATATATCCTACGACTATTACAATGCAGACACCGATCCTCAGATAGTTGAATTCTTTTGATTTGAATTGTTTTGCCTCGTCTTTATAATAGTTGAATGCGACAACTGATGGTGATAGCAGTTTGCGAATTTTACCATCTTAGAATCCGCTAACTGACAATAACTTCAGGGTAATCTCCCAATTATTTACATGTAAAGTCTGTCATTCAGTTCAAGTCAGTTCATGATGCAAGAAAGCCTGGATAATAGCCTACTGCTTTTACCGTAAATATTACACTCAGAAACACGAAAAGTACAACTGAATGAGATATACAACGACTTACGTTTCATATTTTGTTCCAGGTGCTTGAGTCTAAAAATGAAACAGTCATTGTGCACACAGATTGGTGATTCTAAAAGTATATCTTGAAAATAAAATAATTCACCGGAAAAACTTTTAATGCATACTGTCCAAGGATACTGAGGATTGCTTTGTTTTATCATAATGGTCATGTCAACAGTCTGGTCATGTTTACGGCTTCATCTCGAAATGTCTAAGATGACTTAGTGTACTATAATAGGACGAGAAATAAAGTTAATACAACAAGGCAGGCCACGATAAATTTCAGACCACTGATTTCATCAATGACACAATCTAAGTTTACATTTCATATGCACTCATCAACCACTCTGACTGTTTAGGTCTGCTAAGTAAAAGAAGACGGCCATGCAAATAAATGACTGTCTTCACTGTTGATTTAATTTAACGTGACTGAAATTGGACTGAAGAGCTAACTAAACAGCTAATACGACAACCTCCAAATGAAAATAAATATTTTACACATGACATGTGTCTGCATTTCCAGTGGCTGAAGTGAATGTAATATTTGTTAAGCAGATGGGTCTGATGATTTAGTATAGAACTATGAATTAAAAAAGCACAAACTATTTTCGAATATTTCTATCAGTTTCTTAATGAGTATTAACACTCAAATATTCTCTTAGTATTGCAAAATAATTAGTTATACATTCTGTGGGTGTCTACATTCTATTAGATGGCCAAGACAATCTACGTCAAAAGTCATTCCGAAATTTATGTAACATTCTCCTGATATCTTATGGACTCATATTTAGTGAAAGCATGAACGAATCACTCATGCCGGAGTCGCTAGACAAATAGAGATAGACTTAATGGCGAAAAGCAATTCCATTTGTTTGAAGTTAGAGTTCATCTAACGTTTATGCA